AATTATTTCTAGTTTTTTGTAATTATTCATAATGCTGTTATGAAAATCTGTGACCAAATGCCTTGTGTTGTTGTTGATGATGATGATGATAGCAGTTTCATGGTTGGTTCCCAACAGTAGAATTATTGGATCAGAGAGTATGATTGTTTTTGTTACCTTTACATTTTGTTATTGTGAGATAACTCTACAGAAAGTTTATATGAATTTGCAATTCCACCAGTAATAAATGAGTATATCTGTTCTTCTATAGTCTCACCAATATTGAGGGTGTTTTTGTTTTTTAGTTTGGCAATTGGATGATTGTGAAGTGGTACCTCAAAGCACTTGCCCTCCCATTTTATAGACAAGGAAATGAAAGATCTGAAATAGCCTGTCCAAGGTCACATAAACATCATCAAAAGCAGTACTTGAATCCAGGACCTCTGACTCCAGAGCTAGTACTTTCTCTATCATACCACACTTCCCCATTTCTAAAGATATTTACTCCTAGAAATTACAGGGAAACAAACAAACTCAAAACAGAATCTGAGCACCACAACAGCTAGTACCGTAAAGCTTTTCAAAGTTGGAAGGAGGAAGGAGGTTGGCCTGAGTTTCCTTAGCCTCTTACTTTCCTGCCTTATTATTCTATTTCCTTTGCAATAATATCCTTCATGCTCCCCCAGGAAGTCATGCTACATCAGAGATCAAAGGGGTGTTTAGAGTGGCAAGCTCTGATTCAGGGAGAGGTCAGAGAACTTCTCATTGTTTCCCCCCTGCCTTCAGTCCTCCAGAGCAGTTGAGAAATTGGCCAGATTAGAACAGGCAGGATTGGGACAAGAGGTGGACTCCTTGTCTAATCTAAGGATGGCAAGCCCAATGAAGAGAGTTCACAAGATTATAGATTTAGAGCTGGAAGTAACCTTAGAGATTATCTTGTCTAACTTCTTCCAAATTTTTGTTGTTGTTTAGTCGTTTTTCAGTCATATCATACTCTTTGTGACCCCATTTGGCAAAGATACTGGAGTGGTTTGCCATTTCCTTCTCTAGCTCATTTTACAAATGAGGAAACTGAGGCAGACAGGGTTAAATGACTTGTCCAGGATCACACAGCCAGTAAGTGTCTGAGGCCGGATTTGAACTCAAGAAGAGGAGTCTTCCTGATTCCAGGCCTGCCTCTCTATCCACTGTGCCTCCTAGCTGCCCCTAGCTTCCCACTTTAAAGATGAGAATAGTGAGGCCTAGGGAAGTTGAAGGGATTTGCCCAAGGGCACACAGATAGTATTGGGTGGTAGAAACAGGATTTGAACCCAGGTTCCCTGACTCCAAATCCCCTTTCTATTCGCTGAACCATTTGGATTCCCTGTTCCTGGCTGGCTTTAAATTCGTACAGGGGTTACTGTCTCAGTGATTCTGGCCCCCTTCCCCACCACTACTATCACCACTCTCCCCCCTCCTCACCCTCTTACTTCCACCCAATACACACACACATACACACAGGGCCAAGACTGTCATGCAAAGGTTTCCGTGGTTCTCGACGGTGCCCTGGATTTTGTCCAGCAGGGGTCAGAAGAAACTCTCTAGAACGGGTACTAAGATGCTGGGGGGGAGGCTGGCTTGAGGAAGCCCCAAGAGGACAGCCATGGAGGAGATTTCTGTACTTCAGCATCTCAGAACTAGAAGAGATCTTGGAGGCCAGTCATCTAGTCCAGTTCCAAGCTGAGCAGGAATCCTCTGTGGCCTCCCCGAGCTGCCATTTAAAAACCCCCAGTGATGGAGAGCCCATTCCACACTGGGATAGCCCTAATTGTTAGGAGATTTGGGAGTTTGTTTTATTATTATTATTATTATTATTATTATTATTAATCATTATGTTGAGCAGAAACCTTCTTCTTGGCAACTTAGTAATAACAATGAGTTGATAATTAAATAGTGCTTTACACGTTCATTTGAGTACATAGCATTGGAGTCTAACAACAGCTCTGAGGGCTAGATGGGAAAGGGATTCTTGTTATCTCCAAAATATAGATGAAGGAACCGAGGATCAGAAAGGGAAGTAACTGGCCCAAGGGAGTTAATCGATCCAAGCTGTGCCATCTGGGACAAACAGCCAATCTGATCCCTCTTGACAGCTCCAGGGTCCTCAAGTTTTCCCTGCTCTGTGCTAAACATGTCCAGTTTTACCAACTAATCCTCCTAGGGTCACCAGCCCTTACCCACCCACCCAGCCTTCTCTGAACGTGCTCTGCCCTGTAACATCTTTCCTAAAACACAGTCACTAGAACTGAACATAACACCGAGGTGGGGGCTGAGCAAGGTAAGGAGAAAAAGAAGTCAGAAGGAGTGAGGCTCCCAACCAAGAGAGGCTGATGGATCTCTTGAGCTGGGTGGGGAGTTCTGACATGCAGCTGAGGCCTCAGCTGAGGTGGCAGGACTGTGTTCCAAATTAATATGGTGACCCTCCCTCCCACCACAGGGCAGGGGGACACCAAGATCCCCAAAGAGGACAGAACCAGGCCAGGTCAGAAATGAAGCAGACAAAACTCCCATGCTGAGAGTGGTGCATGAGTAGCCCCTCTGTTCTCAGCCTTGGGAGATAGGGAGACCTTATCTTTAATATAAAATAAAATAAATCTGAAGGAATGGTTTCCATCTTACTCTTCCTTCAGGGAGCTGCTCACTGGCACCCCACTCTTTACTCTGCAAAAGATTCCTTTTCATGGGAACAGTATTCAAATGAACTCAGCAATTACCATCCTTTATTTTCTTGGTAAAGGCAATGTGGCATGATGAAAAGAACACACTGGATTCAGAGTCACAGTTTCTAGGTTTGAATCCTGCCTTTGTGTGATGTTGGTTAAGCCACTTCATTTCTCTTAGCCTCATTTTCCTCATCTGTAAAAATAAGGGCTAGGTGGTCTCTAAGGCCCCTTCTAGCTCTCAGGTCTCTGAACTCTTACAACTTTTGTCAGTCAATTAATATTCATCTGCTCAGTGAGTGTGGAAGGTGCTTCCATTTTGAAATCCTCAAACTTTGAACACCACCCTGCTCCCCTGGTGCAGATGGCCCATAATGCAATGGGGCTCTTCAGATCAGGGCGACTTGGTTACTTGTCTATAGCTTTTCTCCATCCCAACAAAGGCCTTGTAGTGAAAGCTTCAGAGTCTGACTGTGTGGGGTCTATAAGAATAATAATAATAGCTGTTTTTTCTGTAGCACTTGAAGATCTACAAAGCACTTTATAGATACTATCTCATTTGATCCTTAAAATAATCCTGGGAGGTAGAGACTATTTGTCCCATTTTACAAATGAGGAAACTAAGGCAGGTATACACTAAGATTTAAGTCACACAGCTAGTACCTAAGTTAGAAAACTCAGGTCTTCCTGACTCTAGCCAAGCACTCTCTCCCCTTCACTACCTAACTGCCTCAGATGAAGCAGAAATATCACTGGATTTGATCCTCAGCAAGTCACAACTTCTCTGAACTTTAGTTTCCTTATCTGTAAAATGGGGAGAAAATGCCAACATCACAGGAGTGTTGGAAAGTGAAATTTAAAGTTACCTAGACATCAATGGGGCAACTAAGTGGTGCCATAGTGCATAGAGCATAGGACTTGGAGTCAGGAAGATTCATCTTCCTGAATTCAAATCCAGGCTCAACCCTTACTAGCTGTGTGACCTTAGGCAAGTCACTTCATTCTGTTTGCTTGTTTCCTCATCTGTCAAATGAACTGAAGAAGTAAGTGGCAAACGACTCTAGTATCTTTGCCAAGAAAACCCTAAATGTTGTCAGGAAGCGTCAGACATGACTGAAAACAACAGAACAAAGATATGAGCTATTGTTATTATCACTATCTTAAGATATGGAAGCTGAGGCTGTTTATAAAGGGGCCTCAGGGACAAGACTGACCCAGGTCTTCTGTCTCCAAGTTCAGTGTGCTTTCCATTGTACAACACTGCCTTCCCCTCTAACTTCTAGAACATTCTAAAGCTGCTAATAAATGCAAGAATGTTTGCAAAATGCCTTACTCTCGTTCTCTCTTTTTATCCTTACCAAAACCCCAGGAGGGAGCACTATTATTATTCCCATTTTATAGATGAGAAAAATGAGGCTTAGAGAGTTTGTGACTTGCCCCAAATTGCACAGCTAGCAAGTGTCTGAGATGGGATTTGAACCCATACCTCCCTAACTCCAAGTCCAGCATTCTCTACCATGGCTGTCTACAGTGGCTCCATGGGAAGCTGGAAAATAGAGTGGGTTTTGAGGCCCAAGTTGCCACTTGGGGTCCAGAATTCCAGGGCTGGTGTGTATATGCTGGGGGTAAATGGTGTGGGAAGGGTTATAGGGACAGGAGTTAGAAAATCACACATTGTTTAGGGGCAGCAAATAGTGGTAACCTCCCTGTCACTTCCATCTCCTAAAGTATGAAGCCCTTCCCTCCACCTCCCCCCATCCCCGGCTGTCTAACATCTGCTCTGTTACCCAGGGGAAGACCACAAAGCCCGAGGCTGCAAATAGCTCTTTGGTCAGGGCTGCATCTCAAAGTACATCATCATTTCTTCCTTTTAGATCATTAGTGATGTGGGGAGCTCCAGAGCTCTTGGGAAGTCATAGGGAGACAAATGCAGCATGGCCACAGCTCCCCAACAGCCAGACTGAAGGGCTGCCCCAGACGGTGCCCCCTGAGCCTGGAAATGAGGAAGGTGTGTGGGGGCCTGACTCTGGCCTCACATGGCTTACTGGAATCCTCCCCCTTGCTTGGGCCTTGGCTTAGAGTTTATACCTATAGCCAAGTTTGATGGGGAATCTGGAAAGGTCACCCCGACCATGTAAATACTGCCTGAGCAAGAGGAAAGCTGGGATGCCCTCTCTAGGACTAGCTTGGCCTTCTCAGGGAAGGCAAACGGGGCATCTGACCTTTCTATCTCTGGTGAGCCTTGGTTATTGGAAGTGATTCTGGCGTCAGGATGGCTGGTGATGGGAAAGGAGTTGATTTGTGCTTTTGGCATCTCCCCAGTCTTCGGATCCCCAGCTTCTCAGTGCTCCTCCCCCAGGGCTGACAGGCGGCCGAGGGGCTTAGCAGTGCATGGTCTGGTCAGCCAGCCCTCCAGCCCTGAGGAGGCCATCATGCCCAACCTACCTGGAGATGAAGAGCAGCCAGGAGAGCCACAGCCTGCCCTGAGCCCTGCTATCGAAGTAAGTGACCTCCTGGCCCCCTCCCCTCCTCCCTTCCCTTCCTGGGCTAGGCGTGAGTGTGAGCAGAGGACAGCAGGGAAGGCTCACCTCCTTACACTTCTGGACATGGCAGCTGGCTAAGAGGGTGCATCTCACAAGGTTCTCTGGGCTCCATGATCTGCCTTTGAGAGGGCTCAGGCACTTGAACCTCTGTGTACTTCAGTCCCTCTTCTTTGGAAATGCTCAGTACTGGACTTTCTAAGTCCATAAGTACTCTCTCAAAGAGTATTCACCCTGTCTCCTAGAGATGGTTTCCCTATTACTTGTGTATGACCTTGGCCATGTCTGAAACTAAGGCTGTGCTGATATTGCAGGTTTAGACAGTGTGAATGAAGGTGTCCTCTTTAAAAACAAGAACAGACTTCATCCATTTCTTATGAATATTTCAATATTTCAGTGTTCTAAGTGGGGTCTCAGCCTGAGACTCCTGCCGTGGTGCAGCAGGAAGTGGGCTGGGATGGGGTAGGGTGGGGTGGGATGGTGGGATGGCTAGATGAGATCTCAAAGCACCATGGATAAGAGAAAGAACACTGTGACATAGTGAAAGAGGGGATGTGGAGTCAGAGGAGGTGGGTTCAAATCCCAGTTGTCCCACCCGTGTGACCTTGGGCAAGTAATTTCATCACTCTGAGTCTCAGTTTCCTCATCTCTAAAATAAGGGGGCTTGGCTAGATGGCCTAGGAGGTCCCTTCCAAGTTTAAATTTATGATCTCATGAACCCGAAGGCACCTAGGCCTGGGTTCTGATCTTGTCCCCACCACTGTCTGGCCTGGTACTTCCCCTGCTCTGTACAATGAGGAGTGTGGCCTAAATGATGTCCAAGGCCTCTTTCAGTCACTTTTGGTGGCTCCGAGTCAGGGGGTTTTAACCTGTGTGTGTGTCTGGACCTCATTGGCAAGCTGGTAAATCCTATCCCTTCTAGGGATAATGTTTTAAAATGCAGAAAACAAAATAATGGAGATTACAGCAGCTATTTTGAAATATAGCTATCAACATATTTTTAAAAACTAGTTCACATCCCCCTGCTCTAAATGTTCTTGAGCATTCGTAGATTCAAAAAGAGAGCCGTCTTTGCTGTCCCAAGCAGGCTTTTATCTCCAGGGGTTTATCCCAGGGAAGAAGGCCAGGCATGACCAATATTTGTTGACAACCAGGAATCCAGTTGGCCTGGGCCAAGTCATGAAAGGGTGTGGCTCTGGATGGAAACTGCATGACCCCCTTGCCCACCCTCAGCTGAGGTGCTGAATGGCCCCCAGTGGCTCAGGACACTAGAGTTGAAAAACATCCATTGATTTTCCTCTAACATTGCTGGAAAGTGTTGTCAGCGTCCCTGAGACAATTTGTCCTGCATTCCATCCAAGCTTCACAATGTGCTAAAGAGCTGCTTCCTGGTTTATGATAGCCCTGGCCATATGTGGCCAGAGTTTTGCAAGGGGGTAGCTTGGATGCATAGAGTGGATCAATTATTTTGACCCATTCCACATGACTTGGGAACCTGATTTGCCATCTTTGGCTTATGAAGCTCTCAGCTTTGTGCGCCAGGCCCCAAAGTCCACTTGGTAGCTTAAGGACAGAACCACAAAGGCTCTAGTTGTCTGCCTGCCCCAGCCAGTACTGAGCAAGGGTTTCCAAGTGAGACATTGGTAACAGTCTGCTACCTTCTCAATAAATGTTTGTGACTGAGTGACTAACCTCCTCACATTAGATATCACAGCCTTCAGACATGTGACCATGCCTAGTCATAAACTGGATTGGGCTAGGTAGGGTTCAGCATGGTGATGGAGTAGAAAGAATACTGCATCTGGAATCTCCAGACGTGGGTTTGAACGTCAGCTCTACATCTTGCTATCCAGAGGACCGTAGACAAATCATTCAACCTCCATTGAATTCAATTTCCAAAATAGAATTGCCTGCTTAGGAAGGTAGTGAGTTCCCTATCACGAGAGATCTTTACAGGGAGGCTAGATAATCACTTTGGGAGGGGATATAGGAGCTGCTCATGTACAGATTACAGTAGGTGTCCCCAAAAGCCCCTTCTATAACCCTGAGATTCTGTGATTCTCTGAGTTCCCATTGCCATGGGGAGTCCCAGCCCACAAGGCCACTGTAAGACAGTAAGGAACAGAGCTTTATTCTTTGTTTACTGATCCCCAGGGCCCATCCCTAGCTCCAGTTCCCCAGGCTCTGGCCTTTTATTTTCCCATCTCTGGTACAAAAATTAATCAGTCCTTCCCACACAAAAGCTGTAGGGTTAAATCCTGTTTTTCTTTCTACACATAAACACATGCATGCACACACACACACACACACACACACACACACACACACACACACACTTTCTCTAGCCCCTCCTTTCTCTTCTTCTCAGACACAAAGTTTGATTTCTCAATGTAAGCTTTCAGTGGACAATGCAGAAAATTTACCCTCGAAGATGAGTGACAACCAAAATAAGTCTATTTTCCCCTAAATTTTCTTTCTTTTATTATAGATTTAACCATCACCAATATACATATGCAAACATTTCAATGTGCAGAGGAGAACAAGAAAGAAGATTCTGTAAGAATCATAAGATCCTCGCTGTAGAGCAGGAAGGGACATGAGAGGCTGTCTAGTACAACCCCTTCATTTTACTGATGAGGAAACTGAGGCATAGAGGAGCTAAGTGTCTTTCTGAAGGTAATCCTTCCATTAGAAACTATGACCTATGTAACTTCTGTTACATCAAGTTTGGAGTTGATGTTTTTTAAGCATATATTTAGCTTAACAAGGTAAAATTGCCTCATTTTTTTAATGCCCCCCCATACATCCTAAGAGGTAACATGATACAGTATAGTCAAAAGGGTCATAGACTTGGATTCAGGAAGACCTGGGTTCAAATCTTGCTAGGTGACCATGGGCATGTCACTTAACTTCTCTCTCCCTCAGTTTCTACATCTCTAAAGTGGGGCAGTTGGATTTCATAGCTTCGAAAGTCTCTTCCAGTTCTAAGCCAATCATCCCATATTCCTTTTGTTTTCTTCTTTGTATTTTAAAAATGTTTGATTGATGCTTTTATGTATATATTTTTCATGTTTCCATCACTGTCCACTGACTCATTGCTATGTTTTTGTTTCGTTTTGTTTTAGTTTGGTTTTTTGCAAGGCAGTTGGGATTAAGTGACTTGCCCAGGGTCACACAGCAGTATCAAGTGTCTGGTCTGAGACCGGATTTGAACTCCAGTCTTCCTGACTCCAGGACCGGTGCTCTATGTACTGTGCCACCTAGCTGCCCCTTCATTGCTGCGTTCTTAAGGTGACCAGTGTCTTAAGAAGCCACAGTCCCTTCTGTGTAGCCAGGGCTTCCAGGAGCTACTGAGGCTATATCCTAAACCCTGGGCACTTGGGGATGATTGAGTCTGAGCTGCAAGAGAATGTAACATTCATTTAATCTAACACCCCACTTACTGGAGGAATTTCCTCTCCAGCATCCCTGGCAAGTAGTCATCCAGACTTTGCTTGAATATTTCTAAGGACGGAAGATCCACTGATCTTCCCCATTCCCTGCCACCCTTGAGAAAACCTGGCTTATTTTTTGTTAGTTCTGATAGAAACTGACACCATCCACTACCAGGGGTGGGGAACCTGTGGCCCCAAGACCACATGTGGGTCCTCAAGTGCGGTCCTTTGACTAAATCCAAACTTCACAGAGCAAAGCCCCTTAGTAAAAGGATTTGTTCTGTAAGACTTGGACTCAGTCAAAAAGCTGCACCCAAGGACCTAGAAGGCCACATGTGGCCTCCAGGCCACAGATTCCCCACCCCTGCTAGTCCTTCCTTCTGATCCTCTTCTACCTACCTGACGGCCTTTCTGATATAGATGGTAGCTATCATGCCCCCCTCTCCACCCTCCCCAATCTTTTCTTCTACAGATTAAACAACCCAGTCCATCAGTCAACAGGCATTTATTAAGCACCTACTCTGTGCCAGGTACTGTGTGAAGCAGTAGATGCAAACAAAGGCAAAAGATGGTCCCCCTGCCTAGATGGCAGTCTAGGGAAAAGTCTCCACTCCCCTTACCATCCTGGCAGCCCTTCCTCTGTCCATGCTCAAGTTTGTCAGTTTTTTCTCTAGAACTGATGTAATATTCCAGATGTGGTCCGAGCAGAGCAAAGCATCATGGGTCTCTCCCTTCCTTCTCCATCTACCTCAAGACTCCTGATAGCCTAAAATCATCTTCATTTCCTTAGTCATTATGGTATATTTTTGGATCACATTAAGCTCATGTCTCTCTTTTTTAAATGCTTATTTTTACTTTAAAAAATACTCATTGCTTTTTAAAAAATATTCATGCTACCACTCTTTATTTATGTGTGATTGATCTGGGGGCCTAAGTGCAGGACTTTTGTTTTATCCCAGTTTAGCATAATCTTGATGACTTAGGACTGAAGCAACCCAGATCAGTCCTGGTGTTCATTTTGGCTGTGTCGTGGTGATACAGAGCCTCATGTTTGCTTCTGAAGGACCCTAAGTCCTTGAAGCTTTCAGCAAATTCCCAGTTACTTCTCCTCTGGTCCCCTTGATATTTGAGTTGGATTCAGTAAATTCCTTTCAACTCCCATCATGCATCTGGAAAGGTGCTAGCTGGGCCCAATAGTACCATCCAACCTCACCCATTTCACAGAGGAAAAAACCACAACCCAGAGAAGGGAAACGTTGAGCAGCAAGTTAATGGCAGAACCAGGACAAGACCCCAGGTCTCCTGATCCCCAGGCCAGGGCTCTTTCCACTCTACTGGGCCTCTTCTTTGACTGCGAGACCATTGCTAGTCTTAGGTAGGATTCTCAAGGACCATGAGCTTCTCCTCATTTTGCAAATTACTCTCTTATAGAAAATATTATTTTCTAGCACAATTCATTTCTAGAATGTTATTTTCTCACAAATAACTTAATCTACAAGCATTTCTTAAGTGCTTGCTACAAGCCAG